GTTTTCCATTTTCATGTGGCCTGGTTTACGATATAAAATGCATGAATGTACCTTTTAAACGCAGCAAAAAGAGCCGTTTTCTAGATCACATACATCTTCATCAGGTGGTAGCAATGGTGGTCATAACTCCAATAGTACTGGGAATAACTCGTCCGGAGGCGGAAACAAGGTTTGTTCTTCTATCCTTGACTTATCTGCCCGAATAGCGAAAGTACGAGATTGAGTCAGTGACTCTCTGATGCTGAATCCGTTCTAATTGTTCTCTGCTCGTCTTGCACTTTTACGTTCAATGTTGCCTAGAAATCTGATTTCTTTGTACTAATTTCCGAATTCGTCCTTTCGTCGCTAGGGTGCAGAAATCTTTCTTTCTGAACCAAAGATTCTACGAATTCTTTCAAGGGAACCCAAAGTTGAGGCAAAATAGATGTAAACATCAATTTTAGGGCTTCCGACCGGAAGACGCCATACAAACATTTGGAGCCAAGTTATTACCGTATGAACAAAGTGAAATTTTCAACTACGTCCGCGTTTTCTTCGTCGGTTCACAAGCGAAAAAACGTGGTGGAGTCATTGGTAAGCCATCTCCTAACCTTCTGTTTTTTGTTCAAATGTTTTTCTACCCCCACTTTGCCGTGGCGGTTGCCGTGACAACGGAATATGCCTGAATCTCGTCTTTTACACTAATTGCAAGCTATTTAGGAGGACCGAATAACTGCGGGTACGATGATGAAAATGGCAGTTATCAATTGGTAGCTCACGATCATATAGCATATCGATATGAAATCCTCAAAGTCATTGGGAAAGGCTCATTTGGCCAGGTTTGTTGGGTTTTATGTTTTGCTTTTTTTTGTCGTCGTCATTTTTGAATTTTTGAGCTTTAAGTTTATGCTCGCACTCTCGGATTTCCTTTAAAACCCGCTTTTGCTTGCTTCATTAGGTCTGCTCTGCGCTTGGCAGTAGATGTTTTCCTCCTCGTCGCGTTTTCCGTTCGCGTGCCAGCTTTGGCTGCTTGTTGCTTGCCGTACATTCGACAGCGTTGATTATGTTATGGTGTGTCACCATGGCGAAGAATCGATTTGCTGGGCCTTCTGAGGAGGTTGGGGCCTCTGTGGGCCTCTGTACTGGGCGTGTAAATGGCACTTGCTCCATAGAACTGTTCCCAATTATCATTCGTTTGAGGACAGAGCTAGTTAGCGTCGGCAAACTGCACTTAGTGCGTTCTAACCGACGTATCAATTTGTTTGCCCAGTGAGAGTGAGGGATTCCAAGGAAAATCATAAGAAAGGGCGAAAGAACTTGCGAAACAAGTCTTTGGTTCCAAGAAGCTTTCTTGGTTTCAATGTGATTGTATCGACTGGAATTAGTCAAATAACAAGAAATCACGAGAGGAGATTAGGAAGATAATTGCCGACAAATGAGGTAGATAGACATCGTTTCCTAGGATATGAGGTCCCGGAAAGGTGATATTAGGGCAGCTAAAGTGGTCTTTCAAC